TACTATCAATATTGGGCACATTCACTTGGAACTGTTGCTTTTTTAAAAGGGCATAAATAATTGAAATAATAGCATCTCCATTTATTGCTGCCACCATCTTCATTATTTAACGCTTTGTACGACTTGGAAAATAATCTCATCCATGCTGATCCCATATTCTGACTGCTTGATTTAGATTCGTGGGCAAAAATCTTCTCATTCTATTTAGCACTTCTCATGTTGGTGCTTAATAACACTTAATGATTATAATTGATGCTATTGCTATCTTCTGTGAATTAAGACTGCTGGGAGTGTTTTTGATCTCTGGTTTACTTTGCTTGAAATATTAAGGCTACAATTGATATCACAGTAGAAAGACATTTGGGTGAAATATTTATCTGCATAATAAACTGGAATTGAGACATGACTGCTCATCCACACATACTTTCAGGGGACAGTTTTGGCCCTTCTTTAAAGCATCTTCATTCCTAGCCATAGACTCTCGTCCTTCTGCCTTCAAATGTGAACCAAACGAAAGCAAACTAGTTGCTGTCAAGTTGATTCCAACTCGTGGAGACCCTTTGTGTGTAAGAGCAGAACTGGGCTGCATGGAATTTTCAAGGGTGAGAGCTTTTGGAAGCAGATCACCAGGCTTTTCTTTCAAAGCACCTCTCACCAAACCAAAACCAAACTCACTGCCATCGAGTTGGATCCGACTCAAAGCGACCCCTCTTTGGGTTTCCGAAGTGGTATCAGGACAGAAGTAGATTGCCCAACCTTCCTTCTGAGGAGTGGCTGATGGGTTTGAACTGGCAGCCCTCTGGTTAGCAGTCAAATGCCTTAGGCACTATGCCACCAGAATGGGTTCAAACCACCAACCTTTTTGTTAGTAGCTGAACACTTAACTGTTTTCACCACCTCCACAACCTTGCTGCCATTGAGTTGATTTTGACTCATAGTGACCCCCTTTGGGTATCCGAGGAGGTAAATCTTTACAGAAGTAGATTGCCCAGTCTTCCTTTCGTGCAGTGGCTGGTGGGTTTGAACCGCCAACCTTCTGGTTAGCAGTCAAATGCCTTAGGCACTACGCCACCAGAGCTCCTTTTTCGCCACCTAGGGATTCCTTTTTACTTTCTTTTAACTTTTAACCCTGTTTAGTTACAGATCTGTTTTTTTGCCTTTACTGCCATAGCTCTCCAAGGAGAAGTCTACACTTTCAGCCTTTAGCCCTGGAGCAAACAGAGACTCCCACTCAACTGAAATTATACTCTTAGGTTTCCAGTGGTCTCTTTCTAACTAAATTTGGGGCCTTTTGTGTACCCCTTTGATGTTGCTGAAGCACCTGCCCTCTGAACCACCCACCCTCTCCTTTGAAACCTTCTAATGTGTGACCTTTCTCGCCACTTCTCTTTAGCCTCCCTTCTTTCTTCCTGGTGGTGCTTTGGTCACCTCTCTTGACGCCTTCTGCCTCAACTTGACTGGAAGGGCCATCCCAGATTGGTATTTGGTCTCCTCCTCTTTTTCCTCTTAACCCCTTTCCCTTCATTATCTGACCCTGTCTTTTGACTGCACCAGTTATGTCTATACCACTGGCTTTCTCAATCTGAGTTTCAGGTTGTGAGTCTCCACTGAGAAACCCACTTACTTACCATTACCAGTGGAACCCGTGAGCTGGTCACTGCCTCACCTGTCGCAGTCTCTGATCATGTCCCCATCTCTTCTTCCCGGTCTCATCCATCCTGAGCTCATGGCTTATTTCCTGGACAGGGCTTGCCCTTTGGTGCCTTTGTATGTACTGTTGCTGTTTTCCTCCTCCTTACCCCTTGCTGCACTTGGCTGGGACAGCATTTACTCCTCCTTGAGAACTTAGGGCTTTCCCCCAGTCTTTTTTTTTTTTTTTTTAATTGTGATTTGGGTGAAAATTTACAGAGCAAATTCACTTTCCATACAACAGCTCACGTACACTTTGTGTCATGACATTGACTACAATTTACCACAATGCAACAGCTCCCCTCCCACTTCCTCCCGATAGTTACCTCTTCCCTGTGTCCATCCCTCCATGCACTCCTGCCTCCTGAGCTATCTCCCTGTACATAAACAGTCCTTCTTTCTCCCATGGTTGTTCTCTCCAAGGAGTATATCTACCTAGTGTAAATGTTCACCTCATATGCCTGTCTGTTGTTTGGCTGGATGCCACAGGTATGGGTTCAATTCCAGACCTGAAGGGCAGCTAAGGCCCATAGTCTCAGTGGTTCCATCAGGCTCTATCAGACCAGCAAATCTGGCCCCGCCCTTTTCTTTTCCAAATGATTTTGAGTTTTGTTCCACATTGTTCTCCCTCACTATCCAGGATCTCTTACATAGATCCCCTTCCAAGTAGTTGACAGTGGTAGCTAGGCACCATCTAGTTCTTCTGGTCTCATAGTTGTATAGGCTGTGGATCGCATGGTGTACTGGTCGCTAGGACTAATTGTTTCCATGAATCTTTGATTTTCTTCATTCTTCTTTGCTCTGGATGAGAGACCCATTGTTGCATCTACATGGCTGCTTGCAAGCTTTTAAGATCCCAGTCACTACTCGCCAAAGTAGGAGGTAGAACAATGTTTTGTGTGGTATGTTACGCCAATTGAGCTTGATGTTCCCTGTAACTATGGTCCCGAGCCCACAGGTTTAACTACTCAGTCCCACTGGGTAGCTGGCTGTGACCAAGAAGTGATTACAACCTTTTCCCTTGTCAGCTTTACCATACACCTGTCTTTCCCCCAGTCTTAACATGTGTGTGGTTGTTGTTGACAGCAGCCTAGGGTCACGTCCTGACTCATGATTACCTCTGGCCCAACAGGATCAAATTATTGTGATCCCAGGGGGTTTCTCTGGCTGATTTTTATGGAAGGAGATCACTAGGTCTTTCTTCCCAGTCCTTCGTAGTCTAGAAGCTCCTCTGAAACCTGTGCCAGCCTCATGGCAACATGGAACCTCCCTGAAAGATCGGTGCTGGCTGCATGCCTTTTCTGTTCATTCTAGACCTTTACTGTAGATTCTCAGCACTTTTTGGTCAGAGACCAGAGCTTTTCACTGATTTCCTTGAATCTAACTGATTGATATTTCGTTGTGCATTGTCACTTTTCTGTTTAAACAAACAAACCAACCTGGAGCGATTCTACATGCTCTGTGATGAATCCCACATATTCGTACCCAGTATTTGGCCCCCTTGGTGATCTAGTTCTATCCTACTTGGTCTTTCCCCTCATGCTCTCCACAAGGAACCGTATATTCCAGCCAGATTGGTGTCTGTCTGCCTCAGGAGACCTCATGCGCGAACCTTAGGGACAATTCTTTTCTCCTACTGTCTCCTCCTTATTCTTCATGTCTTCTGATACTGTCAAGATTCTTTACTTTCTTTTTATTTTTAATAGACTTAATTTTTGTAGAGCATTTTCAGGATTACAAAAAAATTGTGCGGAAAGTTCAGTTCCCATTTACCCCCTCCCCCTGGACATTGTTATTGTTGCTGTTAAGTGCTGTCACGTTGGACCCGACTCATCCTCCTATTAACATCTTGCATTCCGATGTTACACTTATTAAAATGGATGAGCCGGTACTGATACATTATTATTAGCTAAAGCCATAGTTCACATAAGGGTTCACTCTTTGTGTTGGACAGTGCTATGGGTTTTGACAAAGGTTTAATTAAATTCCCACCATTATAGTTGTTGTTGTTATGTGCCGTCGAGTCAGACCCAACTCACAGCGACCTGTCCTTGGGTTGCCAAGGCAGTGTCACTACGAAAGTAGATTGCCCAACCTTCCTTCCCAAGAGTGGCTGGTGGGTTTGAACTGCCAGCTTTCTGGTTAGCAGTCAAGTGCCGCAGGCATTATGCTACCAGAGCTCCCTCACGCATAATAGCTCACCTTAAAAAAAAAAAAAAAAAACCCTGTCCTCCACCTACTCATCCCTTTCCCCCTTCTCCAGAACCCTTGGCAACTACTGATCTATTTTGATGAACTACTGTCTCAAGTTTTACTTTTTCTAGAGTGTCATATAGTTGGGATCATAAAATATATAGCTTTTGTGAACTATCTTCTTTCACTCACTCCTAACTTTTTCTTCATCAGTCTTACAGCCATGTTTCACTTATTCTGGAACTTAAGTAGTTTGTTCTTTAAGTTCCTAGAATGTGTGTGAGGACCACATACATGTCACACTTACATGGATTTTCTCCAGCACCTATCATCATGCTCTTGCAGGTCATAACTAATAAACAGATATTTGGATAAATGCTTGCATGGATGAATGAATGCATTGGCAGTTGTGAATTTTCTAAAGTTCAAGTTTCATATTCATATTCATATTGGCATCTTCAAACTTGTTTCATCTTCTAGAACCATGAAACCTATGAAGGCATTGTGTTGATCAGGCTGAAATGCCACATATACCTTGAAATAGCTCATGGTATGTGGGCTTTAAAATGGAATTGTACTTAGGCCTTGTTGTTTGGAAATTTTTAGATAGTTCGCCTTTTGATGAACAATGTCGTATGAGGAGAACTACATAGAAATAACTGTATTCACAGAGCTTTAAAAACCAAGCTGTGTCATGTACATTCTTCCAAAAGGATAACAGACCAACAGCTCTTTTTTTCCCCCTTGTGAGATTTTGTTTCTGTTGTTTCTAAGCCTGGTTTCAGCATGTCCATGTTATGGCAGTGGCCCATATTCAGAACGGAGACTTGACCCAGTTGCATGTTTAACCTAGAGTAGGCCATGGCATTCACCAAATTTGGGCTTGGCACACCAAGTGTGACCCTTAGGATTAATTTAGGATTATAAAAACGTAATAAATTTCTAAATGAATTTCAGAAACTTCAGACAGAACTATCTTTCCAGCCATAAATAGTAGGGCAGCTTTGTCCTATTTTTATTGTAAAGTACACAGAAGATAGAAATCAATATTGGAAGAAGTGCTTTGTTTCGCCAAGGAAGAAGATCATACTCAATATGGTTCTTGTTTTTCTTGGCAGGCTCTTCTCAACCATCTGTGAGTCCAGAAGATCTGTCTCCACCATCCATCCATCCAGCAAAATCACAGTTAATAGTCAGTGTGGGTGACGAGATTAGGCTGCTATGCACAGATCCAGGTTTTGTCAAGTGGACTTTTGAGATCCTGGGTCAAGTGAGTGAGAGTAAGCGCAATGAATGGGTCACGGAAAAAGCAGTTGCCACCAACACAGGCAAATACACGTGCATCAATGAAGGCGGCTTAAGCAGTTCCATTTATGTATTCGTTAGAGGTAAATGCTTGGTTTTCTTTGATGATATGTTTTAGAGAACTCAATATCCTGCTTTTAATTTGGGGTGACATATAGATTACTGATCCATAGATAAAATATTACCAGTTCTGCCTAATAAATCTGAAAAAAAAAGTTTTCTGTGTTTGTTTCCCTCATCTTTTGATATGTAGCAGCTTTGAGTATGACCCCTAGCTGAGGGTCTGTGAGGAAATGATACTTTTCCTAATGAGATTACAATATGTTTAGCCCGTTTGTCCTGGTGCTCAGAGTAAACCCTAAGACTCAATTAGATCCTTGGGGAAAGCTGATTTTAATGCCTTGAGATATTTGATACTCCCACTTAGTAAAAACACTTCAGGGAACCAAATGATTCTCTAAAGGCCTAAAAAGACCAGCACTTCAAAAGATTTGACCCACTCTTGGGAGTGAATTCCAGAAAAATAGCCCAGTCAGCTAAGCATCCCATGTCCTTTGTAGGTTCTTAATAAACATTGGTTCATTCATTTCAAAGACTGTGACCTCTTAGAAACAAAAGAACAAGAAATAGTTGTATTTTAGCATCTTTCCTATAATGAATTTTGTGTCTGTGCATTTAATATCTCTGGTGATCTTTTTGCTGATGTAAAAACTGAAGTATTGACAGCTTAAGAGATGTACCCCAGTTACAGGAGAAGAAATAGAGTCCCTGTTCTAGTCCTGGGTTTGTACCTTGACTGCTGCTGTTGTTGAAGTAGGGTGCAGGTAGGACCTCATGCATGGTATTATAGAAGAACAATGGATAATTTTATTCTAGATTGGAGATTTACTGCGCTTATTATGATTATTTCTTTTTCTGCTTATTAATAGCATGGTAGGAGCTCTGGTAGCATAGTGCCTAAGGCACTTGACTGCTAAACAGAAGGCTGGTGGTTCAAACCCACCAGCCACTCCTTGGAAGGAAGATGGGGCAATCTACTTCTGTAGTGATACTGCCTCAGAAACCCAAAATCAGCTATAAGTCAGGTCTGACTCGATGACACATAACAACAACAATAGCATGGTAGATAACTGAATAAATGTGGAAAACTGCTGAATTAGCCAAATTGCTAGCACAGAGCTCCTAAACTTTTTTCCTAGGGAAAGTCATCATGAGTAACTTAGAACTGTATCTAATTATTACTGATCTAAGACATTTGGATACTTAAGTATTCTGTGCTACAGCAGTGAACAAAAGTAGGTCTCTATAGGAGCTATGCTCAACTGACTGCAAAAGAGGAGCCAGAAAAATAAGCAACGTGGACCGTAGCTCTACCATCATGAGATAAATTTATTCTCAGAATCAGTTACTAAGGCTGCAAAGTGCATAATTCGTTTTAGAAAACTTTTGCAAAATTGGTCAAAATTAAGTAATGAAGTATATTCAACTTGATGTCAATTTCATTTTTGTGCAACTATCTGATTTCCAGAGGGAAAAGACATTATGAAACATAATCTCTTGGCCTAACCATATATGAAAACTGTGAGAGAGAGAGAACTTGACAGGACTGCTTTGTTTTTTCAGGTCTCACAAGTTTTCCACCTTTGACCATTTTTCTATTGCTTGTTTTACTGGAGAATATTTGCACTTTTCTCCTGACAGGTTTCCACCTTGCACAGTTTCCCACTTTTGGAGGTTTCACTGTATCTGTATTACCATTCCGCAGTCAGGGGTTGCAGCATATGGTCTACGCAGTATCAGCTTTGCCTTTGCTTATGTGAGGTCGCAGTCTGCCTGAGGCATTCCCAGGCCTGCCTCCTGTCCTGGCATGATTATTAATAGTGTATTTATTTGCCACAGCATTCCCAAAACTCATAAACTCCCTTTGTGCATTTGAAATTATTTCATTTGCCAGTTTATACATGAGTAGAGTTAGGTTCACATGTCATTGGTACTTGGTGCCCTGCTGATATCTTTCTAGATTTTATTTAGAAACTGAGAGATTCAGGAGACTAGGAGCTCTGGTGGCATTGTGCCTAAGCCACTTGACTGCTAACCAGAAGGCTGGCAGTTCAAACCCACCAGCCACTCCTTGGAAGGAAGATTGGGCAATCTACTTCAGTAGTGATACCACCTCAGAAACCCCAGGAGGGGTCGCTATAAGTAGGATCCGACTGTATGGCAGTGAGTTTGGTTTGTTTTTTAGGAACTCTGGAAGGGACCCAGATGGGGTTGAAAAGAAAGAAAACCTTTCCATAGCCCTGGGAGGACCCATCCAACTGTTTTTTTTGTTAGCTGTCTATCCCTGAAGTGTGACCATTTGTAGAAAAAGAGAGTAACTGTTGTAATAAAATATTCTCGGTTTTAAGAGCTCAAACTTTGGTGTCAGTTAGGTCTGGGTTTGGGTCCTGCTCTGCCATTTCTGGCCATATCACTTAGGCATGTCATTTTTTGAGGTGGTTTCTTCATCAGTAAAATGGCCATAGTAATCATATCTATCCCATTAAAGGGTATTTTTAGGATGAAGAGGTAAATAAACAGTGTAGTGGTTCAAATTAGTTCCTGACACACAGAGTTGAATAAATGGTAACTATTACTTGGATAAGTTTTCTTTTGCTTGCAAAGAAAAAGGTCAGTGGCCATTTGGGCCACTAGGGATTTGTTGTCATGAGAGGCAACATCTTAAATGTTTTTAAAATATGTTCTGTGTCTGGGACCAGCCATTCAAACTAATTTTTGATATGCTTATAGATCCTAACAAGCTTTTCCTGGTGAACCAGCTACTGTACGGGAAAGAAGGCAATGATGCGTTGGTCCGCTGTCCTCTGACAGACCCGGAGGTGTCCAATTACTCCCTTAAGGGTTGTGAGGGAAAACCGTTTCCCAAGGACCTGGTGTTCATCTCTGACCCTAAGGCCGGTATCATTATCAGAAATGTGAAGCGCACCTATCATCAGCTTTGTGTGCACTGCTCTGCGGACCGGGAGGGCAAGTCGGTGCTGTCAGAAAAGTTCATCCTGAAAGTGAGGGCAGGTACGACCCCTTTCTTCTTTTCTTCTGAGAGTTGGAGGATCTGTTGATTACAGGAAGGCTTCTCTCTATGGAGTCCCCAGGTGGTGCAACTATTATACACTGGAAAAGTTGGAGGTTTGAGTCTTCCCAGAGGTCCCTTGGAAGAAAGGCCTGGCAATCTACTGCTGAAAAATCAGCCATTAAAAACCCTATGGGGCACTGTCCTACTCAGACACACATGGGGTATCTATAAATTGGAGCTGACTCAACAACTAGTTTCTCTGTTTACATTGTTCCATCTTAATGTAAATCAGGAACCTGGCTATTAATCAAGAAATTGCCCCCAGCTTCAAAATAGTGTCCATTGCTTGTGAATTTTTATCCCACAGTTCCAGCCCCACATGACTGGTCCATGACCTTTACCCGATCTGCAACTAGCTGAGGTGGGTGTGTCTGCAGTACATGGGCATCTGGACTTTCCTGGGGGCAGCAGTTAAGCCTACTGACTTCAGGATACCCCAGAGTTTCATGACTGCAAGAAACGTTCCTTCCAAGAGAAGCCCATTGGGAAGCTTTGTGTACCTTGAGAACATTAGCATACAGATTATTCACTCCTTGATTTGCTATTAATATATATGAATTGACTGTCTCCTCAGCTAATTTATTTTAATGCATTCCCCAACTGTGGTAGTTAAATTTGTATGTCAACTTGCCTGGGCCTGGTTGAGTGGCTGGGCAGCTGATGGTAGTTATTCCCCATGAACAGACTGGCAATCAGCTCCATTGTGGGATCTACCACAAGCAGCTGTGGGATGTGGGCTGCTTCCTGTATGTAAGGAGAAGCCTTGGGGATAGTAGCTAGCTTATGGCACTCTTGGACCCTGCATATAGCTGTGTCATTTTTCACCAGCCTGCCATGCTCTGCCAACCTTGGGACTTACAATGCACTTGAATTAATGGCCTGCCATGGGGTTTGGTAACATCAGGATTGTACCATTTTACTTGTCAACCTTGGGCTTGGCAGCCTCAGAAGCCAGCAGCTGTCTGAGTGAAGAAAAGCCTCTAGCTTCAGTGGGCCGGGAGCTGGAGGCAGAGCTGAAGCCCAAGGCTGAGGGAATTTCGCCCAGCCCCTAGAGCCTGGCACTTTGAGCTTGAACTTGAAGCCTCCAAACTGTAAGAGAGTAAACTCCAGTTTGTTAAGTTTATCCCACTTGTGGTATATTCCTGTCAGAGCGGCACTAGGTCACCAGAACACCAACTATCTGTCATCTGAGGAGGAAAGCACCAACCAATGATGGGCCTTGCTATTATTGTGTAGAATATTTTGGTAATCCAGGTTTTGAATCATTAGAGATCACCTAATTCAACCTCAGTTGCCATTTAGCTGTTAAGTACAGCTTTTATAAAGGCTTTTGAGAAAGTGTGCTCATTGAAATCAAGCAAAATGTGGTTGTATAGGATGTGGAATTTTCAGAAATGAGCAGTATTATTTTTACAGTGCATGTGAAAGATGCCTGTTTGGTTAAAAAGATGTCATTAGTTGTATGCCACATTCTCATAAAATCATCCAGAGTTGTCTGAGGTGTAAAGATTAACGTTTGCTTCACTGTGTCAAGGCCTCTACCTGTTTTGTAAAAGCATTGTCCAGAAGCGTTATAATCTCAAAGTAGGTATTTGGATCTTTTTCACCCGCTGTTAATGAATTCACTTGAAGGATAGATGATTTAATTTCTGATGCCTTCAGATATGCAAGGAATACAGATATGTGTTATTACCTTACTTGATATTTTACTTAAAAAGTGACAAAATAAGCTGTGCACACTTGAAAAATGATGAGTTCAAAGTTTATACTCTAATAGAACAAACTATGTGAGTGCTGCATTTCTTTTTATTCTAGCCATCAAAGCTGTACCAAATGTCTCTGTGTCCAAAGCACACTATCTTCTCAGGGAGGGGGAAGAATTTGCTGTGACGTGCACAATCAAAGATGAGACTAGTTCTGTGCTATCATTGTGGATAAGGGAAAATAGTCAGGTGAGTTCTTTGTTTTATGTTCTGTGGATGTTTTTTTCTTTAAAAAGTCCATGAAGGTTGTCCTGGGGATTGCTTAGCTGCTGCGTCCATCGGAGGTGGATTTGCCTGGATGTGTGGTAAGATGCATAGCTTCCATTGTGACACATCCATATGTAGATGTGTATGTTCATCATTACTAACAAATACGTATAATTTTGTAAATGAATTTTGAGAAAGTTGGAGAACTTTGAATTCATGTTATTATTTCATGCTGAATGACTTTAGTAGAGAAAGTCAAAACACACACACACACACACATATACACAAACCAGAGTGATTAAATGCATAAATAACTTGGTTTAAAGGTATTAATGATACTATTCAGCCAGATTATTAAAAGTATTGGAAAGAATTGCTGTTTTTTTTTTCCTTCCATATTTAAAAAATAATGAATGTTCTAGGTACTAATCAGGAAGCTCGTCCCACCCCACAAAATGGCTTACCCATTAAGTAGCTTGAGAGATGGGCTTCTTTTTGTATGGGTCGGATTTCCTCCGTAGGGGCTGGTTACCTGAGATTAAGTTGCTAATGGCTTCTTATTTGTTATAGGAGCTATTAATAAAATGGTTACCTTTAAACCTGAAACATTTGAATGTCTTTAGGTTCTGATTCATTTAGCAAATGCACATTGAGTGCCTACTGTAAGTCTGATACGGTATTAGCCATATTTTAAAATTAAATAAATTTTAGCTACTTCTTTCTTCTTTTCCAAATACTTATACAATAGAAAAGTCTTTAAAATGTTTAATTTCACTAATGTTTTACTTAAAATTCCCATTCTCTGAGTTTTCAATCCTTTTTTTTTTCCTTTGGAATTTTGGAATTATCTTGACCATCTAGTTAATTGGCTATCACAGTGGTTTTTCTTCCTGATACATGCATTCATTACATTGGAAAAAAAGAAATATACTATGTTGTCATTCTTCTCCTTCTCATGCCCTTTATTCAACATTGGCAATTTCATGCATGTTTAAAGAATTCTTTGCTAAACAAGTAACCATGGTGATTAGCATAATGCAAAGACATTATGATGGTATTCATGTAGACCTGGGATGTCTACATGAAAATGAAGCCTGCCATTGACTTTAGAAGAATGGATTGTATGGCAAACTGGTTCAGAGAAACAAGTTTTAGTTTTCCTACCATATAATTTAATAAAGACAATAGCTTATGTATGGATATTTGGCTAATCTTACAGAACACAATCCTACATTAATTGGCTTTCTACAATCTTTGATGTCAGCTGAGAGAAAATTTAGACTCTTGTATGAATTAGGGCCTCTGTCTAACTTGAAAATCAGCCTTTTTGAGATGAGAAATTAAATTACCCCAGGCAGTTTTGTTCCGAACCATTTTTCCCAGGAGCCCTGCGTGCCATTCCCAATTAATCCACTGGTGCTAGCAGATAAGCCCTCAGTGTTGGGAGCTCTTTGGGGAAATCCCAGTGTGCACCTCCAAGGGTTAAGAAAAACCAAATCACGGGTGGCAGGCAATATGTAATGTGTGACTTGCAGATGGGGCTCTTGGCTCTATGCCAAGGTTTATCCATGAATCTTTTATTGATATACTTTAGCTTTATTTGGAATACTGTTGGCACTATTAGCACTATCAAATTATTTTTTAAAAAACCATAGTGTTTGATTCTGAGCATTTAGAATAAGTTTAACTCACAAAGAAGTTCTAGGTAAAATGGAGTCTTGGCAGTTGTTTATTTTGAGTCTAAGAGAGTCCTACTGCTTTTAAAACCCTTGGTTTGTTTCGCTGATGCTTCTGAACCCCACTGTTTTTATTTGCTTTTAATTATGACCTATGACAGTATTATAGATAATGGTCTTTGGGCTTGGGTATTGTTATTGCACTGCTTATGATCAAGTTGTCCCTTCTGACACTGACATGCTCAGCGTTCCTGTGTAGATCTTTATAGTGGATTGTTGGGTTCTTGTAAGAGCTAGAATTTTGGGGGGGAGCTTAAACCAGAATTTGGAATGTTCTATGTCACTCTGCCTTTGTAGAGGAAATATCTGGAAACCATCAGTGAGAAACTGCTATTGCACGTTCTTAAAAGTTGATTTTTTTAAGTTAAATGGCGGACTTCTGCCAAGTATTAGAAGAATCTTTTAGAAGGTGGTAGCTTCAAATCGATACGTTGTTCCAAGCTGGACTTTTAAAGACACCCTTTTCCCTTGTTACCTTTTTATACACAAAAGCTAAGACTGAAAGTGGTAAGTGAACAGCAAAGCAAGTTTCTTTTCCTTTTATTTTGAAGCATTCAACTTTGTTAATCAGCTTTTGTCTGTGATTATTTTAATTAAGAAATTAAAATTATTATATTAACATTAGAAATAAAGGAAAATCAGATACAACCCTACCATCCTGTATAAAGGTCCTATACAATGGAACTATACTGTGTACCTCAAATATAATTTAATTTTCTAGTAGGCACTTTACAAAAGGTAAAAAGAGACAAATAAGATACATTTTAATATATATTTTATTTGGCCCAATATATCCAAAATAGGATTGTTGCATCTAATTAATATAAATTATTAATGAAATAATTTACATTGTTTTCATACTAAGTCTTCAAAGTCTGGTATTCTATACTTACAAAACCAAAACCAAATTCACTGCCATCGAGCCAGATCTGACTCATAGTGACTGCTCCTTGGGCTACTAAGGCAGTATCACTATGGAGGTAGACTGCCCAATCTTCCTCCTGAGGAGTGGCTGGTGGGTTTGAATTGCCAGCCTTCTGGTTAGCAGTCAAATGCCTTAGACACTACGCCACCAGAGCTCTCCAATTTGGACCAGACACATTCCAAGTTCTTCATAATCACATACAGCTACTATCCATAAGCACATATAACATCACATGGTTACAGTCTTAAGGTTTCCTCAGTTTATGTTTTTTTTTAAAATAATACAAGCTTTTTCATTTATACATGTTCACATTTTTTATTGGTACTTGGTATATATTTAGGTCATTTTTGAGTTTTCACTGCAGTGACTATCTTGGAGGAGCTCTGGTAATATAGTGCCTAAGGCACTTGACTGCTAACCAGAAGGCTGGTGGTTCAAACCCACCAGCCATTCCTCAGAAGGAAGATGGGGCAATCTACTTCCGTAATGATACTGCCTCGGCAACCCAAGGAGAGGTCGCTATGAGTTGGGTCTGACTTGATGGCACATAACAACAACACAACAACAGCTATCTTGGGGCTTTTGTCTTCTGTTGTTTCCTCAAGATCACATTTGCTGGAGTTGATCAGAGTATGTGAGCACGCTGCCAAATTGCTTTTGAGGATTGCCCTGATTTACGACATTGTCAGATGGTCTAATTCTAACAGCTCCACCGTAGCCTGGTGAACCTATTACCTTTGACCTCATTCCATGTCAAGATCAGATGCTGTTTACTTTTCTTTTTATAGGTCCCCTCTCTCTGTAATAGGAATGCATGCATATATAGAAAATGAGAAGATGAAGAAAGCTATATACCATTCAATTTAATCTTTTTAGAAAGTTGCTGTATTTTATATTATGGTTTTTCCATGACATTTTAAATGCAAGAAGTCATTGCACGTCTTAACTACAGGCAAATAAGAGTTGAGGTGATGCTATCACAAGGGTAGATTCACACAACCTTTTCTCCTAGGCTCATGCTTAAATTTGGGGCTTAGTTTTACATGTTTCATACCTTGGGGAAGTGCCTTCAGTAGTTGCTGAAATTCTGCTGTGTAAGAACTGTAGCACGAATTACCAGGTTAGTAGTAGCTATGCTTTTATTTTGTGCTTATATAATTCATGCTTATGTTTTTATTCATGAAAACTATAAATGTTAATAAAATAGCACATGATTGTTATTAACAATGTGTTTTCTTTCAATCATTGGGATAGAAGATAAAAATGTATAACAGGGAATAGTGATATCACCCAACTGTGCTGATTTATTGTGTAAGAAATCAGTGTTCTATAATGTTTCTTATATAGTAAGTTTCAAAATTTAGCCTTGCAGACAGTTTGAAATCCTGTCTACTGTGGTTATTAAGGAATATATTTTCATGTTTTTTCTTCAGTGTTTAATAATGACTAACTTTCACCATAATCCTGTATTATGAAGTGTTCCAATGACAGATTTGTCATGATGCTTTATTATTCTTACTTAAGTAGTGTATAATGAATGCTAATATGGAGATGTTAATTGCTGCTATTTTTAATTTATCTACGAAAGATCCTGAATATAAATTATATGCTAATCTTTGATCCCCCCCCTTCTAAAACCAGCACATTAAAGCAGAGGTGGAAAGTAAGAGCCGGCACACGGGTGACTTCTCTTATGAACGCCGGGAAACGTTGACTATCAGCTCCACAAGAGTTAATGATTCTGGAGTGTTCATGTGTTATGCCAATAATACTTTTGGATCAGCAAATGTCACAACAACCTTGAAAGTAGTAGGTAAATATCTCTATGAGAATGTATAAATTACTGGCAGTAGTGAAAAGAAATTACTAGGTAGTTTTCTTTTTACGTAAATGGAATGTTGAACAGATTCTTAGAATTTTATTATCACTGAATGAATGAATGGAAATTTTCTTTGTGGCCTCTTCCAACTACCACACAGAAGCAAATGGTACCATTTAGTAGAGGGAAGTGGAAAGATGTAACTGAAGTTGTCTGAACTTATAGTTCTCTCCTCCCCATCAAACAAAACATAAGTTGAGCTTTTTCAAAAATTTGAAACCCTGATAAAGGACTTGAGTTTGGAAATGGATATAGACTCTCTCTATTGAGGAACACAAATGTTGAGAGCCTGGAGTATTTCTCTGAATCTTCTGGCTGTTTCGCCATTCATTGGCTTTAGTTCATTTGCAGCAAGAAGGGCTGAATTGGGCTTCTCTCTACTACCCCTTCCATCTCATATTGTCCTCCATTCCTAAAGGTTGTAGCATAACCCTTCAGGAAGGAAGTCCACAGTGCCATGAGTCATTGGTTCTACTGCATATTAAATTGGAACATGATAATCATACCTGGTATGGACAATTGGTTTAACCTTGCCTTTGATACTCTAGAAATCTCATTTAATATTTGTTTTCCAAAGCATCTACTAAAAGAGAGCAGAATGCAGCAGGATTCTTGATATTTTTGATTTACTGAAAATAATAGTAATTTTTAAATTATACCCACCTTTGATACATTTTTGCCTTTTGAGCATCATTTTAATTTAATCTATTTTCCTGTCTTTTTAATGCAATCATATTCTTAGGGCTTGACTTTGATTAAATGCTTGGGGAGTGTTGAAATTCTTCATCATGAGCAATAATAAAATGGTGCAATATTTATTTTCATTTCTCTCTTCCCCAAATTTCTTCAATATATATGTAGCAGTGTTGGAGGTCTGTGATTTATCCCAGAATCATCTCATAATTTGGGGGTTTCTGTGTTTGTTGTAATGGAAAGAATCTCACCAGACTAAACACTTTACTTCCAATTATAGAGTCAGCACAGAAAGAGTACTCCTTGTCCCTAAACATGATTGTGAACCATTTATTAATTTGAATAGAAGGCTATGCTTTTAAAATATTAAACTCCGTAAGCGCTAATTTGCTAAATTGATTAGGGAGCATGTTGCTATATCAGCTTCAGGTCCAGAAAGCAATTAGTAAGGATGTTTTGAGCGTACTGTTGTATGTAATCGGAATTTTAAAATCCATTCATCAATTTCCAAGAATATTACTGTATAACTGGAAAGCCTTGTGGCAGTGAAATCTGAATCTGGTTTTGTATTGTTTTAGGAGTGGGTTGAGGTGGGACAAGAACAGGAAGAGACAAAGAGAAAAGTCATGGTCTAGGGGCTTGGGAGTAGGATTTGGATACAGCATGAGGTGTTGGAGAGAACAGGGCTTTGGGATCACCCTGACTTGGTTTTGAATTTGGGCTCTGCCACTTAGTTTTCTAATGTACCCTGTTTTAACTCTGACTGCATTGTCTCTTCGGAGAATCACAGCCTCTTAACTCCTAAGGCTGTGGAAAGGAGAAAAGGCAATAGATTGCATAAAAGTGCCTGGCATAGGGTGTGCATTTGATTAAATGTTAACACATCACCAATTTCTTAATGCAGAAGTGCTTGGGAAATCATACTTTATGCTATAACAACCCAGGTGGAGTTCTTTGATTCTCCTAATTTTTTCACTTCATGAATTTAAGCTCTGTAGGACATAAAACTATACTGAGCAAATTAGACTGTAGAAAACTCATGAGGGACATAAGTATTTTATGTGTGGTGATTGTGAAGGAAATCATTTCAATGCAAACATTATTGTCTGAAATATTTGAATATTTTGCATTGTTTAGTGTCTTTGAATTTATGACCTTGAGGACGTAAACATTTAAGGTACTATTCATATGAAACATTTATTGCCCAAACATTACCTAAATTAGCTTAAATAATGGCCAGGGGATATCATTTATGATTCGGATATTGAAACAAGACAATGACTTCCACTTCTCTCCAGTTTTAGTTTTCATGATTTCTCATTCTCACTTGAAAAATGTTTTAACTGGTGCAATGGACCAAGGATATGTGGGCTTTGTTTTTGATTCTGAACTTGTAAGAATGCAAAGAGCAGTAAAGACCTCATGTGAGACTTCACTGTATTTAACTAGATAGCAGCAAAGTTAATGATAATTTGAAATTTTATAACTAATATTTAAACATGGAACAGTAAAAGAAGAATAAAGTAAAACTGCCCTATAATTTCACTAACTTGATATAATCAATCACTTTTAGGACTTTGATATATTGCCTATATATTTGAATGTAATCGTTCAAATGATATGTATGATTTATCCTGTCTATACCTCTCAACTTAAAGTATGTAGAGGTTCTGGTGGATGGTACCATAGAACTAGACCAGACTTTGTTCCTCACAGTCTTGTGTTCAAATCTAGTCTCTGCCATTGGGCTATATGTGGTTTTCTCGGCCCTAATTTTTTCTTCTCTGAGTTAGAAGTTATAAGATTTATCCCTCAGTATAATAATAAAATGAAATGTTTGCTATAATTAGTTAATAAAATAATGTATGATAAAGTACTTAAGGCCATTTTGGGTACATAATAAGCATTCTATAAATCATGGCTCTAAATAATTAGGAGTTCTGGTGGCATAGTACCTAAGGCAATTGACTGCTAACCTGAAGGCTGATGGTTCAAACCCACCAGCCACTCCTCAGAAGGAAGGTTGGGCAATCTACTTCTGTAGAGAATACCGCCTCAGAAACCCAAAGACAGCTCACTGTGAGTCGGATCCAACTCAACTGCAGTGAGTTTGATTTTTTGGTTTATAAATAATGACATGGCATCAAGATAGGAGGGAGAATCATTAACAACCTGTGATATGCTGACGACCCAACTTTGCTTGCTGAAAGTGAGGATGACTTGAAGCACTTACTGACGAAGATTGAAGAATACAGTCTGCAGTATGGATTACACCTCAATATAAAGAAAACAAAAATCCTCACAACTGGACCTATAAGAGCATCACAATAAATGTAGAAAAGATTGAGGTTGTTAAAGACTTCACATTACTTGGTTCTACAATTGACGCCAATGGAAGCAGCAGTCAGGACATCAGATGACATATAGCACTGGGCAAGTTGGCTACAAAAGATCTCTTTTGAGTGCTGAGGAGCAAAGATGTCTCCTTGAGGACTAGGGTGTGTCTGACACAAGCCATGATATTTTCAATTGCCTCATATGCATGTGAGAGCTGGACAATGGATAAGGAAGACTGAAGAAGAGTTGATGCTTTTGAGTTGTGGTGCTGGTGAAGAATGTGGAAAGCACCATGGCCTGCTAAAAGAACTAACAGATCTGTACTGGAGGAAGTGGAGCTGGAAAGCTCCTTGGAAGCAAAAATGGCCAGACTTTGTCTCACCTACTTTAGTCATGTTATCAGAAGGGACCATTCCCTGGAGAACGATGTCATGCTTGTTAAGGTGGAGGGTCAATGAAAGAGAGGGGAAAGCCCTCAAGGAGATGGACTGACACAGTGGCTGTGGTGATGGGCTCAAGTATAGCAGGGATCACGGAGCTGGCATGGGACCGGGAGGTGTTTTGTTTTGCTGTGCATGGGGTCACTGTGAATTGAAGATGATTCGGTGGCACCTAACAACAACAACAGCAACAACAAATAATGACAATTTTATTTCTTATTCAAGTTCTTTTTTAACATATCATAACCATTTCTAAGGACTCTATGATATTCTACTGATTGACTATACTGTTATTGATTTAACTAGTTCTCCATTTTCTCATTTTTAAAATTATTATAACTGGTGTAAATAGTGGGAGCTCTGGTAGCATAGTGCCTAAGGCACTTGACTGGTAACCAGAAGCTTGGCAGTTCAAACCCACCAGCCATTCCTCAGAAGGAAGATTGGGCAATCTACTTCCGTAGAGATACCGCCTCAGAAACCAAAGGAGGGCTCGCTATGAGTTGGAGATGATTTGATAGTACATAACAACAACAGTGTAAATAGTACTTTTTTTTTTATGTAACTTGTCCGCCCCATTAAGATGAGTTCTCAAGTGGGAATTGCAAAGCTAAATTAAAGAATATGTGATTGAAAAAAAAAAATCTGTATTTCTGGAAGTTTTCTAAGAGTTGTGACAGTTTACAATCTAATTCAGTGTACTGCTTTTACCATACTTGGAAAACCACTGAGTTTACTTCACAGTACTCTTTTGCTATTTTTAATAATAAAAAGTGATGCCTTGTTTTAATTTAAGTCTAGTTTAGCTGAGCACTTTTCCATCTATATTTTCATTTCCTCTTTGTCCTGTTTTAATTTCAACACATAGGCATTCAAAGTGTTTGTGTATTTAAATTGTTTTTCTATAATTTTTTTTTCCTGTTGCTTCTAAATGTCTCTCCAGAGGTTTGATAGGAGTCATTTCTGTTGATTCATTAAAAATGTGATTTGATTATTAAGATGCTGTCTGATTCATCTGTGATGAGAAGATCTAAATTTATTTTTCTCTAAGTACTGAATGATGTTCTTTCAACATTTTTTATTGAACCTTAAGATTTTCTTTCCCTTTTATTGATTTGCGACACCTTTTTATCACAGATACAATTAATTACATTGGGTCTGAATATGGACTATTTAATCCAAATATTTTTTAACCTAATAAATATCAAGACTAAAGGAATTTTAAGAGGGCCATGAATCTTTAAGATAGTTGCTTAGAAAACAGAGATGGGAGACTAAGTATTCCAAGCATGTGTCCTTTTTAACCTTATGACAGTGATTTTGCAAGAACAAAATAAGATCTAAAATGGTCAGTTAAAATTCTCTTGCTTGTTATTGTCAATTAATGCTGAAAATTAGTCATTTAACTTTGTAATTCAAAGATGAGGTTGTGTTCTCTTTTATATATATATATATATAGTTTAAATGACTAACAATAAATTTAATGACCAGAAAACCTACATAGGTTAGGAATATATTCCCTCTATCATAACTTTTAGTTGTATGAATTTTCATATTCATTACTCTGTTTTCTGTCAACTATATAGATAGGGTTGTTGTGTACATCTTTCATTGACAATGGATGGCAATATTGTTGTTGTTGTTAGGTGCCACGTCTCCACTCCGACTCATGGCGACCATATGAACAACAGAATGAAACACTGCCTGGTCCTGCGCCATCCTCACAATCCTTGCTGTGCTTGAGCCCATCATTGCAGCCACTGTGTCACTCCATCTCATGGAGGGTCTTCCTCTTTTTTGTTGACCTTCTTCTTTACCAAGTGTGATATCCTTCTCCAGGGACCGATCCCTTCTGACAACATGCCCGAAGTAGCTAAAGCAAAGTCTGGCTATTCTCACTTCTAAAGGAGCATTTTGGCTGTACTTCTTACAGGACAGATTTGTTCATCCTTCTGGAAAGTCCATGGTATTTTCAGTATTCTTTGCCAATGCCCCAATTAGGATGCATCAGCTCTCATGTGATCTTCCTTATTATGATGAATTGTACTCCAATAAATTTGAAAATCTAGAAGAAATACCCAAATTTCTAGGAATATGATAGCTACCTAAATTAACACAAATAGAAGTGTTGCTGTTGCTACTGTTGCTGCTGTTGTTAGGTGTTGTCGAATAGGCTCTGACTCATAGCAGCCCTATGTGTGTTAGAATGAAACACTGCCTGGTCCTGCACCATCCTCACAGTATTTGCTGTGCTTGAGCCCATCATTGCAGCCACTCAGTCCATCTCGTTAAAGAGCTTCCTCTTTTTCCCTGACCGCCTACTTTGCCAAGCATGATATTCCTCTCTCAGGACCAGTCCCTTCAGACAACATTACCAAAGTACATAAGATAAAGGTTGTTCATTCTCGCTTCTAAGGAGCATTCTGGCTGTACTTACTCCAAAATAGAGTTGTTCCTTCTTCTGGCAGTCCTTGGTATTTTCAGTATTCTTTGCCAATACCACAACTCAAAGACATCAACTCTTCTCCAGTCTTCCTTATTCATTGTCCAGCTTTCACATGCATATGAGACAATTGAAAATACCATGACTTGGGTTAGGTGTACCTTAGTTTTCAAAGTGATGTCTTTCCTCTTTAACACTTTAAAGAGGTTGCAGCGGATTTTCCCAGTTCAATAACTTCTGATTTCTTGACTGCTGCTTCCATGGGCATTGATAGTGGATCCAAGAAAAATGAAATCCCTGACAACTTCAATCTTTTCTCTATTTATCAAGATGTTGTTTATTGGTCCAGCTGTGAAGATTTTTGTTTACTTTATGTTGAGGTGTAATCCATACTGAAGACCAGTCTTTGATCTTCATCGGTAAATGTTTCAAGTCATCTTCACTTTCAGCAAGAAAGATCATGTCATCTGCACATTGCAGGTTACTAATGAGTTTGCCACATTCTTCTGCATAGAGTGCAGCTTCTCGGATTATTTGCTCAGCATACAGATTGAATAAGTATAGTGAAAGGATACTACCCTGATGCCCACCTTTCCTGATTTTAAACCATTCAGAATCCCCCTTGTTCTGTTTGAACAACTGTCTCTTGGTCTATATATAAGTACCTCATCAGCACAATTAAGTGTTCTGGAATTCCCATTCTCCTAAATGTTATATATAATTTGTTATGATCCACACAAATGTCTTTACATAGTCAATAAAACACCAGTAAACATCTTTCTGGTATTCTTTGAGTTTAGCCAAGATCCATCTGATAACCCTTGTTGCATTGCTCTCTTCTGAATCTGGCTTGAATAGCTGGCAATTCCTTGTCAGAGTACTGCTGCAACCGTTTTTGAATTCTCTTCAGCAAAATTTTACTTGAGTGTGATATTAATGATAATGCTGGATAGTTTCTGCATTCCATTGGATTACCTTTCTTTGGAATTGCTTAGTTTGGGTGAAAATTTACAGAATGAGATTGTTTTCTTTGTTGGGTAGTTGTGACTACTTCTCTGTTTTATTCTGCTTTAATTAGATAAAGGATTCATTAATATCTCTCCCATGATGAATACTACAATATTTATAAATGATGGAGAAAATTTAGATTTAATTGTGGAATATGAAGCGTACCCCAAACCTGAGCACCAACAGTGGATATATATGAACAGAACCTCCACTGATAAATGGGAGGATTACCCCAAGTCTGAGAATGAAAGCAATATCAGGTAAGAAAAGGGTCTTACACTTTTTCTTTTCCATCCACTTGACTTAATGGGTAGTGCTCTGGGGGCACAGTGGTTAAAGCTTTTGGCTGCTAACCAAAAGGTCAGTGGTTTGAACCCACCAGCTGCTCTGCAGGAGAAAGATGAAGCAGTCTGCTTCCATAAAGATTCACAGCCTTGAAAACTCTATGGAGCAGCTTTGCCACTCCTCAGAAGGAAAGTTGGGCAATCTACTTCCATAGTGATGCTGCCTTGGAAACCCAAGGAGGGGTCGCTATGAGTCGGATCTGACTCGATGGTAGTGAGTTGGGTTATAGGGTTGCTATGAGTCAGAATTGACTCAATGGAACCGGGTTTGGGTTTTCTTTCTGTGCCTCTTTAAGTTATGAGAGGCCACCTGACAAAGGAGGAAATTTGGGGTTGTCCACTGTGTTCTCATCTCACTTCTTTCATTTTGATGCATGCTTAGAGCACAAAAAATGTCTATGCCTTAGTTTTCTCAGTTGTAAAATAGAGTTCATAACCACCTCTTTCTCACAGTTCTGAGGATAGTTTCAGAGCAGTTACTGGCATATACTAGGGATACAATGAATAATTCTCTTCAGAGAAACAGGAAAGTTGGTTTATTTAAATGATGAGAAAACTATGAATCTTTTAAGTAGCTTTGGGCCAGGTGATGAACTCAAGTGCTTCTACTTAAGTCATTTAATTTAATTTTCAAAACGTTTATAATAAAAACAGTAGCAACCACTTTACATACTCTGTGCTTTTTCTATCAGGCAGGTATTAAGAACCTCAGCTGTGTTAACTCAGTAATTTTAGTTCTCACACAGCCCTTGTGAGGTAAGCCTTCTTAATTTCCCTGTTTTTATAGAAGAGAAAATTGAGGCACAGACTAAGATCAAATGGCTGGTAAGGGACAGGGTGCCTGGATATAGATTGTATGTTTTTCCAGTTAAGAGGCAATTATAAGAATGTGCATAAGAGAAGATAGTGTCCAGGACTACAGACAAAGGTAGAGGGAAGAGTATGGATTTAGGAGGTGTTGAGGCCACCTCCTTAAGACTTGGTGGTTGAAAGTATGGAAGAGATGAGGAGGAGCTGAAGATTCCTCTTAGAAGTTATGGTCCCTTATACAACTATGAGATCAGAAGAACTAGATGGTGCCTGGCTACCAATGTCAACCACTCAGAGCGGGATCTATTGTAGGTGATCCTGAATAGAGAGGGAGAACAATGTGGAACAAAACTCAAAAGCATTTAGAGAAAAAAAAAGGGGGAGGGCAACCAGGTTTGCTGGTCTGATAGAGCCTGGTGGAACCACTGAGACTATGGCCCCTAGCTGCTCTTCAGGTCTAGAATTGAACCCACACCTGTGGCTTCCAGCCAAGCAAAAGACAGGCATAGGAGTTGAATATTTACCTGAGGTAGATACACTCCTTGGAGAGAACAATCATGGGAGAAAGAAGGGCTGTTTATGCACAGGGAGACAGCTTAGGAGGTAGGGGTGCATGGAGGGATGGACACAGGAAAGAGGTGACTATTGATAGGAGGAAGTGGGAGGGGAGCTGATGCATTGTGGTGAATTGTGGTCAATGTCATGAGACAAAGTGTATGTGAACTGCTGTATGGAAAGTGAATTTGCTCTGTAAATTTTCACCCAAATCACAATTAAAAAAAAAAAAGAAGAAGAAGAAGTCACGGTCCCTTAGTCATGTTGAATGTTGAGTGGTGGTGCCATTCACTGAGAGTATGAAGAGAAGGAAGAGGATCATCAGCTGCAAGTTTCTGAGGAAAGACTGCATTCAGCTTGGGCTTTGTTGAATTTGAGGTTGACCATGGAGCTCTAGTGGTGCAATGCCTAAGGCATTGGACTGCTAACCAGAAGGTTGGTGGTTCAAACCCATCAGCTGCTCTGTGGGAAGAAGATGGCCGCAATCTACTTCTGTAAAGATTTACAGCCTTGGAAACCCAATGAGGGTCGCTGTGAATAGGAATCGACTTGATGGCAGTGGGTTTGGTTTTGGTTTGGTGGGATCTCTCCAGTGGAGAAGTTCAGGTAAAATACGTTCCGTAGATACAGAGGTTGAGATAGGGATTCACATGCAAGTGATTTACTAAGGGAGTGTGGGCTCAGAGAGAAACCTGTCTGAGAACTTCCAATGTCAGTCACTCATTGGCTATGGGCTTGGGTGAGAGTATACTTCCAAGGGAGTCCATTCATCCAAGAGCAATCCTTGGGAGAAGATTGCAGGTGTGAGTCATTAGCAGTTGCATGAAAGCACATAGAGGATGGAGCACAAAATAGCTTCTGTATAGGAGAGTTAGCACAGAGGGTCCTGGACTAGAGGTGAGGATTTCAAAGCTGTAAGCAAACAGCAAATAGTTCAGTGAGAGAGAGCGTGGATTGCGCAGTGAGCAGTGAGAGGCCACTGCCTACGTTGTGTAGGTTGTATGGGTCATGTGTAGATTGGGGGTGCTCAGTAACCCACCCTGGGAGCTGTGCAGTGCTCAGTCTACACAGCCATATGGTGGCCCTGGGGAAAAACAGAAACTCAAATAACAAATACTGCAAAGGAGACTGAGAAGTCAAGGGGCTAGGAGGAGAACCTGGCTTGTGGTTTCACAGAAACCAAGAAAGAAAGTGCTGCAAGAAAGAAGGTGTGGGCAACAATACTGATGTTGCTGAGAGAACTCTGAAGAGAGTCTGCATGGGGACAGATGATATGTAGAGGCCTGCTGGGCTGGGGGTCTACCAGGTGGGTGTTATTAGAGGGAGTAGGACAGGGGAGGTCAGGACACTGGTCAGAGGGAGGTTTAGTAAAAGACCACAGGCAAAGAAGGAAGTAGCCATGAGGGTATCCAGGGCGGGAGGGAGAGGCCACAGTCCTTATGCTTAGATAGCTTTGCTCACTCTATTTCACACAACAGGCCTTTGTCCCAGTTAAAAAAACAATATGTAAATACATAAGTATAAATATATAAATACATGTGTATGTGTGTGTGTGTAGTATATGTTTATGTGGATTTTAAGGTGGCACAGTGGTTAAGTGCTTGGCTGCTAACTGAAAGGTGGGCTGTTCGAATCCACCAGCTGCTCCAGGGGAGAAAAATGCACCAGTCTTCTTCCATAGAGGCAACAGCCTTCGAAATCCTGTGTAACAGTTCTACGCTGTCCTATTGGGTCACTATGAGTCAGAACTAACTCAATGGCAATGGGTTTGGTTTGGTGGGTTTAATGTGTGTTTTAATTAAATAAGTCATATTTTTTCCTCAAAATAGGCATTTATTTCTAGATAGTGAAAAAGACATGCATTCTGAGGCAGGCCACCCGTGGGTGATTGATTTATTGTTCTTTCTTTGTAGATACGTAAGTGAACTTCATCTAACCAGATTAAAAGGGACCGAAGGAGGCATTTACACATTTCTCGTGTCCAATTCTGATGCCAACTCTTCCATAACATTTAATGTTTACGTGAATAGTAAGTAAAATGAATGGTTCCTTATCTTATTTTTTAATATTTTGATTGTAGCTTGTGTTCGTAACGCTGCAGAACCGAGTGACATTGTGTACTATGTAAATAATGTTTCATGATAATTTTGACCTTAACAAAGACCTCGTGGTTTGGTGGTTAGATGAGCATGTAAGAAAAGCAATTCCTTCTCCTAAATTTCACTGACCGTATGACCTTGTAGAAGTCGCTTAAGTTCTGGGTGCTGACTTTGAAGTAAACAATGTTCAAAATAACATCAAAGTCCAAAGTAACAGTTGTTGGAGGGAAAATGTATTATTCTTATTGATTGCTGGAATGGGGAACTGGAGATTGAATAGGAGCTGGATTATAGCTTTAGGTGAGAAAGAGCTGCTGTTGAGCTTTGGCATGATTTCTTTGTTACAGTGCTTTCTCTTTTGGGGCTGTGATATTATTTGTGTTTAGATTGGTCTCCCACTAAGATTCCTGCAGTATTGATCCAGCTCAACAGGCCACTACACAGAGTACCAGTAGGTGCTATGGTGGCAGGTGTTTTAGGGTGGGAGGATGGCTCTAGACACACGACCCTGAACAGCCCTGGGTCTTGCCCTGCTACAGCCCTCTATCCCACTGCTTACAAGGTCCTTGAGAAATGCCTCTGTTCAGAGGTTGAAGCCAAGGGGGTACAATCTCCAGCTGGAGCTTTTGCCAAATACAGGGCTTCTGCCTGGCTCTCCTCTGGGTCCTGCCTGCATTTCCAAGGAAGGGCGGGCAGGCGCCTACCACACCACACCAGCCAGAGGATGGAGAGGCCTCCAAGATGTGGAATTCCAAGGGAACGGCTCAATATAGGACAATTGAAATTAGCCATCCTGGGTGTATGGAAGTATGGAGACCGCCTGGAACATCTAGAAACCAATTTAGGAACCAAGCTGTACTTTGTGTGTGTTAGAGACTGGAGATTGGAAGGACTATGGAAGCACAAAGCATGGGAGCCAATTCCATGCTCTCAAGGGACATTCCCTGCTGTATAAACTGATTTTACATAATGATCTCATTTGATATTGCAGCTGAGCAGGTGTGGTGGGGTGTGTAGTGTGATTCATTTATAAATGAAGAAAAAGAGCAGCTAGTAAGTGCTTCTGTGGATGAGGTTTTGATTTCCTCGTCTAGAGTCTTTTAACTCTCCCGGCATTTCTACAACTGTGATTCCTAAATTAGATGTTAATATTTGTTTAGATAAACAAGGGCATGGCCATGTAAGCATGTCCTTTTATTACAGGCCTCCTCAGAATCTTTTAATGTCCTGATGGGTACTGTGCCTTCCCAGGAGGGGCCCAGGAGATGGAGTATATATATCCCAACTTGTTCGACCGCTGAACTCTCTTTTTCCAATGGACACATTAATATCTCTGTTCCTTGGAATGGTTTTGATTATATGGTATCTCATTGGCTCTGATTTCAGTGACCTGTGGATTAATTCATATGTAAATCAGAGGAGCTTAGTCTGTTAGACATGGGCAGAATTATCTGCTTTTGAGAAATCTTTAAGTGACTTGAGATAACTTGGTTAAATCAATATCCTTACAAGCATAATAAACATACTGTTTATATCAAAGTTTATTTTGGATACTTTAGTGTAGTGTTTCTCAAACTATCTATGGGGAACCCCGCCTCCAGCTTTGTTTTTTAATTTCCAATTCACTGTGGATCAATTGCTATTGGTTTCGGGCTAGTCACTTCTCACGCCTGGTGACCCTATGTCTGTCAGAGTAGAATTGTACTCCATACGGTTTTCAGGGTTATGCCATCTCAGAAGTGGATCACCAGGCCTGTCTCCCAAGATGCCTCTGGGTGGGTTTGAACAGGCAAACTTTTGGCTAATAGTTGAATGTGTAACCATGTACACCCCCCCAGGAACAATACCTTTTGTAAAATAAAGTGAAAACAAATTGCTAGAAAAAGAGAGTTCAGTGGTCAAACAAGTTTGGGATGTACACTCCATTCCCTGGCTCCTTTCTGGGGAGGCGTAATATACATCAGCATTTGACGCTTTTGAGAAGCTGTGTAATAATGAGACATGTTTGACAGCCATGCTTCTGTTCATGAAAAAGAACAGCTAGATAAAATATAAGCCTGGAGTTTTATTATTATTAGACTCAACAGACATAAAATTACTCTGTCACATTGTTCCTCGTTTCTTTCTAAATGTTTATTCTTGATTTCTACGTACTTATTTCCTGTAGACTTGTCACAGCAAATCATAGACATAACCATTCCACAGAAAATACTTTTTTTTTGAGAAACTCAGCTGAAGGGAATTTTGTAAGATCAGGCGCCCTGTGTCCATGGGTGGTGCAAACAGTTAACGCATTTGGCTGCTAACTGGAAGGTTAGAGTCTCCAGTCACTCAGAGACACCTCAGAAGAAAAGCCTGGTGACCTATTTCTGAAACATTAGCCATTGAAACCTGTGGAGCACAGTCCTGTGCTTGAGGCCTCCATGAGTGGAACTCAACTGTTTGTAGATGTCTGTGTCTCTCTTTCTTCTGTTGCTTCAAGGCACTAGGGGCATTTAGATGCTTTGGTGGTATAGTGGTTGAGACATTTGGCTGCTAACCAAAAGGTCAGTGGTTTGAACCCACCAGCCGCTCCATGGTAGAAAGATGAGGCAGTCTGCTTCCATAACGACTTACAGCCTCAGAAACCCAATGAGGGTCACTGTGAGTCGGAATCGAATTGATGACAGTGAATTTGTTTTTTGGTTTGGTCCCTTTGACTGGTGTCACTTGAGGAATACGAGGGGATGGAACTATGCCAGGAGACACTGTCAGAGGGGAACACCATAATGTCTATAACATTTTTATGAAGTATTTCAGCAAAAAAATTTTTTTTTATATTAAAAAAATCCCTATATTTATAACAACAAAAACATTTTCCATAAGCCCAGCTTATATATGTCAGTATACCTACATGGCTAAAACTCCATGATCATTTACTTTTTGAACCTTCTATTATTGGGTTGTGGTCAGAGCTGTCATTATTACTCACTGATGCTTCAAATCACATGGTTTCATCCACATGTACTACAAGCATGCACTACTGTTTTCTTTGCTCCCAGTGTTTTTACTGTTGCTGATTTTGCCACATTTTCTGGTATGTTAGCTGCAAATTGTGATAATTAGTATTTGTTAACTTATATCAGTAACTTTTTTGAGTATAAAGTAATAATTAAAGGAAAAGAAGGAGAAAAATTAAGAAAGGGTTCTGCTCAGTTACTAATAATGTTGTAACTAATAAAGTTGTAACTCAATGTAGAAAGATTTTATAAAACAATTTGTTGTTAGTATTCATATACAGTTCTCTGTTGTTATCTATGGGGAATTGGTTCCAGGATCTCCCACAACCAAAATCCTGGATGCTCAAGACTCTTATATAAAATAGCATAGCATTTGCATGCAACATATGCATGTTCTCCCGTAGACTTTAAATCATCTTTAGATTACTTATAAAACCTAATAAAATGTATGACACCCAACCCACTGCCATTGAGTCCATTCCAACTCACAGCAATCTCATAGCACAGAGTAGAACTGCCCCATAGGGTTTCCAAGGCTATAAATCTTTATGGAAGCAGACTGCCACATCTTTCTCTTGTGGAGTTGCTGATGGGTTTAAACCCGCAGACCTTTTGGTTAGTAACGGAATACTTTAACCACTGCACCACCAGAGCTCCTAATACAATGTAAATGCTATATAAATAGCACTTTTCTTGCCCTCCCTCTTAGCCTTTGAGGGGTTGCTTTGACCACTTAGCTGATTTTAGGAGCCATTTTTTTTCCCCCCACAGAAAAAGGGTGTACACAACAAAAGAAGTGAACAAACAAGACACAGAGCAAACAGTGCTCCAACAGTGAGTGCTGGGGAGAGCCTGAGGGTCTGTAAAAGGGGAAGAGGCTACAGCAGAGTGTGCCTATACATCCCTTCATTCATGTGGGTTTAGCTTAGTGCTCGGCACAAGGCAAATTCAAGTTTTGCTTTTTGGAACATCCAGAATTTTTTTTTTTTTAATAAATATTTTCGATCCTTTGTTGGTTGAATCAGTGGATGCAAACCCACAGATAGAGAGGGCCAGGTGTAACCTAAGAAATATTACATATTACATGGAAGCAATTTATAACTTTATCTATAACGTATTATTCTTTGATTAAAATTGATAATAAACATTGGTGATGATTCTGTATGTTCTGGAATGGGAGATGGTTCATTGAGGGGGCAGGGTGACAACATGAGTTACCACACTGAGTGACACTGGTTTCTTTCCCCCTTTTTCATGCTTCCATTAACCAATGTGTGGTCTGCCAGTTGGTCATGAGTCATTGACTTCAGAAAGTCTCAAAAATAACCTGACTTTTCTCTAAGAGGCATAATTGCTACCGTTTTACTTACCAGTCTAATTGACCATTGGGCAGGATCAGTAGCCATATTCCTGCTTCATGATGCTGGGAATACAAATGAGGATAATGTAGTTCCTGACCTGTTAGGTAGTCCCTGGGCGGTGAAATCAGTTAATGTGAACACAAAGTTTGACAGTTGTAGTCCTTGATTTAATTCTGAAAAATAAGCATTGAAAACTGGAGCACAGTTCTCCTTTGACACATGAGGGGTCGTCATGAATTGGAGTCACTTATGTGGCAACTTGTTCTTTGTCTTTTTTAAGTGGAACTCTTCAGAAAGTTTTTTTGTAGACCAGTAGTCATCAGTTTGCCGCAAACACTACACTAACTAAAGACATTTCTTTCCTTTACCTAACACCTTAGATTCTTGATCACCAAATGGTATGACAGAAATAGTATTTTTGGGTGAAAATGAAAACTTCCACCTCTTGTGAAGTATGTTATATGAGTGTTCCTTACTCATTTTCATAATTGTGCAGAAAAACGATTAACACATGTTGTTGTTGTTGTTAGGTGCCATGGAATCAATTCCAACTCATAGCGACTCTATGTA